TCTCTCTCTGTCACACCGTCTCTCTCACCGTCTCTCCCTCTCTCACCGTCTCTCTCTCTCTCACCGTCTCTCTCTCTCTCACCGTCTCTCTCACCGCCTGTCTCTCTCTCTCACCGCCTCTCTCTCTCTCACCGTCTGTCTCTCTCTCTCACCGTCTGTCTCTCTCTCTCACCGCCTGTCTCTCTCTCTCACCGTCTGTCTCTCTCTCTCACCGTCTGTCTCTCTCTCTCACCGTCTGTCTCTCTCTCTCACCGCCTGTCTCTCTCTCTCTCTCACCGCCTGTCTCTCTCTCTCTCTCACCGCCTCTCTCTCTCTCTCACCGTCTGTCTCTCTCTCTCACCGTCTGTCTCTCTCTCTCACCGCCTGTCTCTCTCTCTCACCGCCTGTCTCTCTCTCTCTCTCACCGTCTGTCTCTCTCTCTCTGTCACTCCGCTCTCTCCCAGTCTCTGAATTCGCGGTGTTGCTCAGAAATGGTTTTCAGAGATTATTCCGTCAGATTGGAATCCGCTTCCATTTCTAGGAGGAAAATAATAAAAAGTCAATTTTTCATGAAGTAAAACATGAGAAGAAAAAAGTACTGTGAGTGCCAGGGGCCAATAACAGAGGGCGCGGGTAGCCAGGGGCCAATAACAGTGGGCGGGCGTAGCCAGGGGCCAATAACAGAGGGCGCGGGTAGCCAGGGGCCAATAACAGTGGGCGGGCGTAGCCAGGGGCCAATAACAGAGGGCGCGGGTAGCCAGGGGCCAATAACAGTGGGCGGGCGTAGCCAGGGGCCAATAACAGAGGGCGCGGGTAGCCAGGGGCCAATAACAGTGGGCGGGCGTAGCCAGGGGCCAATAACAGAGGGCGCGGGTAGCCAGGGGCCAATAACAGTGGGCGGGCGTAGCCAGGGGCCAATAACAGAGGGCGCGGGTAGCCAGGGGCCAATAACAGTGGGCGGGCGTAGCCAGGGGCCAATAACAGAGGGCGCGGGTAGCCAGGGGCCAATAACAGTGGGCGGGCGTAGCCAGGGGCCAATAACAGAGGGCGCGGGTAGCCAGGGGCCAATAACAGTGGGCGGGCGTAGCCAGGGGCCAATAACAGAGGGCGCGGGTAGCCAGGGGCCAATAACAGTGGGCGGGCGTAGCCAGGGGCCAATAACAGAGGGCGCGGGTAGCCAGGGGCCAATAACAGTGGGCGGGCGTAGCCAGGGGCCAATAACAGAGGGCGCGGGTAGCCAGGGGCCAATAACAGTGGGCGGGCGTAGCCAGGGGCCAATAACAGAGGGCGCGGGTAGCCAGGGGCCAATAACAGTGGGCGGGCGTAGCCAGGGGCCAATAACAGAGGGCGCGGGTAGCCAGGGGCCAATAACAGTGGGCGGGCGTAGCCAGGGGCCAATAACAGAGGGCGCGGGTAGCCAGGGGCCAATAACAGTGGGCGGGCGTAGCCAGGGGCCAATAACAGAGGGCGCGGGTAGCCAGGGGCCAATAACAGTGGGCGGGCGTAGCCAGGGGCCAATAACAGAGGGCGCGGGTAGCCAGGGGCCAATAACAGTGGGCACAGTTTGTCTTTTTTTCCCCTTCATCATTTAGAGCTGTTGCCCTTGCTTGGGCAATGACCATGCACCCCTGTACCCTTCCCCTTGGGCAATGACCATGCACCCCTGTGCCCTTCCCCTTGGGTGATGACCATGCACCCCTGTACCCTTCCCCTTGGGTGATGCCCATGCGCCCCTGTACCCTTCCCCTTGGGTGATGCCCATGCGCCCCTGTACCCTTCCCCTTGGGTGATGACCATGCACCCCTGTACCCTTCCCCTTGGGTGATGACCATGCGCCCCTGTACCCTTCCCCTTGGGTGATGACCATGCGCCCCTGTACCCTTCCCCTTGGATGTTGCCCATGCGCCCCTGTACCCTTCCCCTTGGGTGATGCCCATGCTCCCCTGTACCCTTCCCCTTGGGTGATGCCCATGCGCCCCTGTACCCTTCCCCATGGGTGTTGCCCATGCGCCCCTGTACCCTCTTATGCCCGTGTGTGAAACAAAACTACCCTACATACACCCCTCCTCCCTCCTCTGGGGGCCGTTCACACTAGCACGGTGCGTTCATCGCACACTCCCATGTGATAAACACACTGTACTGTGCAACCCCCCCCCACCCTGCGTTCTGGTGCGGTGCAATAATTTGAAAGTCACCTCAAATGTGCCTCCTGCCCGCCGTGTGATTGTCGGCACCGGAAACACACATTACCGCAATGCTGTGCGTTCCACGCTGAACGGGACATAAACGTTGATAACTCAGGGGCTCTGTCATTGGACAGCCTGGGATGAGGCAACGCTGAGAGAACGCAGAGTCCAATGTTCCCGGGTCCATACTTCACCTTACGTGACAGCGCGGAAACTACGGCATAAAGCGTGCGCTCGCATGAAACACGCCTGCATTGCTATTACTATGTAACGGCACCACGAACGCACTTTATTCCCACCAGTTTGCATGCAAAAAAAAAAAGCGCAGAACACACGACGCAAATGTTGCTCCATGCGTTTCTTTACCGCGCTCGGTGCACGATGGTCACCCATTAAAATCAACAGGAACGCTCGCCGAAGGCAAAGTGTGAACCCGGACCAGGCGATAACCCTCATTCATGCCGTGAGGGAAATGAGAGAAATAAAGGAAGTCACATTATAAATATAGATTTTTATTCTTTATTAAAATTGCTTTTATTGCTCAACAGCCGGTGACGATTGCTGAACTCCTCCGGCTCTGAGCTCCGCCAGGCCTCACATCAGAGATGCCCCTGATAGACCGTCTCTATGACAACAATACGGATTATTATTACCGCCAACACGTCCAAACCCACTGAAGGCAAGGCACCGGAAGTGATGTGGTTGCAGATCTGGACGGGTTGCACAAAACACCGGACATTTGCACAGAACACCGGAGAAAGACAAGGCTGGAGATACAAATAACAAAGCTACATGGAAGGGGTATTCTCCACCGAGACACACATTCCCTGCCCCCCGGAACCATGCGGAGAGCTGTATTTCCTTTTGCGGAAACCCCCTCACACCCCAAACTCTCACCTGCACCGCCGCCATGTCTAAATAGTCTGACGCCGCCCCCTATCTATAAGCGGGGCCGCATGCTCGGTCATGTGACCGAGCACGTAAGTCAGCTGCTCTTATCTCCAAGGAAACGAAGAGACGCCAAGTCAGGTGACCCCAGTCGGCCATTTTGGATGAGGGCAGGCGTAGTCTGAAGAGCTGAGGGTGCAGCCGCCATGTTGGATAAGGGCAGGTGAGTAATGATTGAAGTGAGTCGGAGATCAGTCCCATGTATCGCCATATTCACTACAAGAGGTCAGTTCCACCCAGCAGGGGCCATCCTCCATGGACACAGCAGCCTCCTCCAAATGTACAGGTGTCTGGAGTTCTCCCCAAGTCCTCCTCCGCTCATAGCTCACAGCCAGGATATAGGAGAGTCCTTGGGAGCTCCATTCAGATCTGACATTTCACCTCTAGGTGGTGTGATCCTTTAATTTCTGACCCCTCCTCCTCCGGTGTCAGGGCTCAGCCCTGTGTACGGTACGAGCAGCGATACCACTCCAGGTGGGTGATGGGAAGATTGAGGTGGGCCGCCCCCTGTGTCTACACCATTGATGTCACCTTCCCGAAGCCTCTGACCGTTAATGTGTCACCTGTGACTCCGCCCCATGTCGGTGTATTGTAAAGAGCAAATTTTAGTGTTGTAGATTCCCCCCTTAAAGCCAGCGCCACCCAAAACTGACATGGAGGGGGGTGGGGGCAGTCTGTCACCCCTCCCCCGTCTCTCCTTCAGGAGCTCCCCTTTACGAACTTCTACACGGCGTTCCTGACGGTGAGGATCCAGCAGAAGAAGCACTCCGACCCCAAGAATAGAAGATGGCGGACCTGCGGCTGATGGACGGTTCCTCGATCTGGGGGCGGGCCGTCAGTTGCCGGCCTCTGACACCAGGAAGGCGCGTGACATTGTTGTCTGCAGTCTTGGGGCCGTCTCCGTCCTTCACTTATAAATGATTGTATGTACTGGCAGATGGTCTGAGCGACACTAACCCACGTGGGACATGCCGCAACGTCCGTCCTCCCCTTCAGTCTCCTCTCTGACCTCCGTCCTCCCCTTCAGTCTTCTATCTGACCTCCGTCCTTCCCTTCAGTCTTCTATCTGACCTCCGTCCTTCCCTTCAGTCTTCTATCTGACCTCCGTCCTTCCCTTCAGTCTTCTATCTGACCTCCGTCCTTCCCTTCAGTCTTCTATCTGACCTCCGTCCTTCCCTTCAGTCTTCTATCTGACCTCCGTCCTTCCCTTCAGTCTTCTATCTGACCTCCGTCCTTCCCTTCAGTCTTCTATCTGACCTCCGTCCTTCCCTTCAGTCTTCTATCTGACCTCCGTCCTTCCCTTCAGTCTTCTATCTGACCTCCGTCCTTCCCTTCAGTCTTCTATCTGACCTCCGTCCTTCCCTTCAGTCTTCTATCTGACCTCCGTCCTTCCCTTCAGTCTTCTATCTGACCTCCGTCCTTCCCTTCAGTCTTCTATCTGACCTCCGTCCTTCCCTTCAGTCTTCTATCTGACCTCCGTCCTTCCCTTCAGTCTTCTATCTGACCTCCGTCCTTCCCTTCAGTCTTCTATCTGACCTCCGTCCTTCCCTTCAGTCTTCTATCTGACCTCCGTCCTTCCCTTCAGTCTTCTATCTGACCTCCGTCCTTCCCTTCAGTCTTCTATCTGACCTCCGTCCTTCCCTTCAGTCTTCTATCTGACCTCCGTCCTTCCCTTCAGTCTTCTATCTGACCTCCGTCCTTCCCTTCAGTCTTCTATCTGACCTCCGTCCTTCCCTTCAGTCTTCTATCTGACCTCCGTCCTTCCCTTCAGTCTTCTATCTGACCTCCGTCCTTCCCTTCAGTCTTCTATCTGACCTCCGTCCTTCCCTTCAGTCTTCTATCTGACCTCCGTCCTTCCCTTCAGTCTTCTATCTGACCTCCGTCCTTCCCTTCAGTCTTCTATCTGACCTCCGTCCTTCCCTTCAGTCTTCTATCTGACCTCCGTCCTTCCCTTCAGTCTTCTATCTGACCTCCGTCCTTCCCTTCAGTCTTCTATCTGACCTCCGTCCTTCCCTTCAGTCTTCTATCTGACCTCCGTCCTTCCCTTCAGTCTTCTATCTGACCTCCGTCCTTCCCTTCAGTCTTCTATCTGACCTCCGTCCTTCCCTTCAGTCTTCTATCTGACCTCCGTCCTTCCCTTCAGTCTTCTATCTGACCTCCGTCCTTCCCTTCAGTCTTCTATCTGACCTCCGTCCTTCCCTTCAGTCTTCTATCTGACCTCCGTCCTTCCCTTCAGTCTTCTATCTGACCTCCGTCCTTCCCTTCAGTCTTCTATCTGACCTCCGTCCTTCCCTTCAGTCTTCTATCTGACCTCCGTCCTTCCCTTCAGTCTTCTATCTGACCTCCGTCCTTCCCTTCAGTCTTCTATCTGACCTCCGTCCTTCCCTTCAGTCTTCTATCTGACCTCCGTCCTTCCCTTCAGTCTTCTATCTGACCTCCGTCCTTCCCTTCAGTCTTCTATCTGACCTCCGTCCTTCCCTTCAGTCTTCTATCTGACCTCCGTCCTTCCCTTCAGTCTTCTATCTGACCTCCGTCCTTCCCTTCAGTCTTCTATCTGACCTCCGTCCTTCCCTTCAGTCTTCTATCTGACCTCCGTCCTTCCCTTCAGTCTTCTATCTGACCTCCGTCCTTCCCTTCAGTCTTCTATCTGACCTCCGTCCTTCCCTTCAGTCTTCTATCTGACCTCCGTCCTTCCCTTCAGTCTTCTATCTGACCTCCGTCCTTCCCTTCAGTCTTCTATCTGACCTCCGTCCTTCCCTTCAGTCTTCTATCTGACCTCCGTCCTTCCCTTCAGTCTTCTATCTGACCTCCGTCCTTCCCTTCAGTCTTCTATCTGACCTCCGTCCTTCCCTTCAGTCTTCTATCTGACCTCCGTCCTTCCCTTCAGTCTTCTATCTGACCTCCGTCCTTCCCTTCAGTCTTCTATCTGACCTCCGTCCTTCCCTTCAGTCTTCTATCTGACCTCCGTCCTTCCCTTCAGTCTTCTATCTGACCTCCGTCCTTCCCTTCAGTCTTCTATCTGACCTCCGTCCTTCCCTTCAGTCTTCTATCTGACCTCCGTCCTTCCCTTCAGTCTTCTATCTGACCTCCGTCCTTCCCTTCAGTCTTCTATCTGACCTCCGTCCTTCCCTTCAGTCTTCTATCTGACCTCCGTCCTTCCCTTCAGTCTTCTATCTGACCTCCGTCCTTCCCTTCAGTCTTCTATCTGACCTCCGTCCTTCCCTTCAGTCTTCTATCTGACCTCCGTCCTTCCCTTCAGTCTTCTATCTGACCTCCGTCCTTCCCTTCAGTCTTCTATCTGACCTCCGTCCTTCCCTTCAGTCTTCTATCTGACCTCCGTCCTTCCCTTCAGTCTTCTATCTGACCTCCGTCCTTCCCTTCAGTCTTCTATCTGACCTCCGTCCTTCCCTTCAGTCTTCTATCTGACCTCCGTCCTTCCCTTCAGTCTTCTATCTGACCTCCGTCCTTCCCTTCAGTCTTCTATCTGACCTCCGTCCTTCCCTTCAGTCTTCTATCTGACCTCCGTCCTTCCCTTCAGTCTTCTATCTGACCTCCGTCCTTCCCTTCAGTCTTCTATCTGACCTCCGTCCTTCCCTTCAGTCTTCTATCTGACCTCCGTCCTTCCCTTCAGTCTTCTATCTGACCTCCGTCCTTCCCTTCAGTCTTCTATCTGACCTCCGTCCTTCCCTTCAGTCTTCTATCTGACCTCCGTCCTTCCCTTCAGTCTTCTATCTGACCTCCGTCCTTCCCTTCAGTCTTCTATCTGACCTCCGTCCTTCCCTTCAGTCTTCTATCTGACCTCCGTCCTTCCCTTCAGTCTTCTATCTGACCTCCGTCCTTCCCTTCAGTCTTCTATCTGACCTCCGTCCTCCCCTTGAAACATGGAGTGTGACCAGAGCCGGGAAAGGTAAAATGTTTTATTGTTTTAAAAACCCCCCAAAAAAGTTCAGAATTTTTAGCAGATTTTAGTAATTTCTAAAAAGCCCCCAAAATGTGACCTGTGGGGGGTCGGTGCTGCGAGTGTCAGGAGGATCCAGAGGGCGGGGTTTGTTTGGCTCCGCCCTCATCACATGATATCAGAGAAGAATCCAAAACGACCCGAAAAACAGATTTTATACTTTTCATTGTCAGAAGTTCATAAAAATTTACTACAAATCCCCTCCACCCCCTGGAAGAGAGTTCATAAAGGAGGACTCCCCCTCCCCCCGTGGTCTCCTTTCATTCTCTATAGCACCTTGTGTCTCCCCCGACTGTGTCTCTGCCCCTCCCACTACAAAGCACTTCGGGGGGGGAGGGGCAGAGATAAAATGAGGGTGTCGCTCTCTCGGTTATATATAGCGGGGAATCCATCGGTGGGCAGTGAGATGTCAGCCTGAGGTGGAGTTCTCCTTTAAGTCGGGGTCTCCTTCTTTCTCCTCCACTGAGGGACACCGGAATTCACATACAATCGGGTTATACCGATGGGACTGGACACCCCATACAAGCCCCTCTACCCAGCATGCCTCAGTGTGGTGTTAGGGGTCCTAGGACGTTTGACGTCGTCTCCAAACAGAGCCATCCAGATCCACCTTTCCTCAGTCTGAGGCCGGACATTGCTGGACTTCATATATGGGGCCAGACTGGAGTGTGACCTTTGGGCCCTGAACTCTGCTATCCAGACCTCAGGGGGCGGGGTGTAAGGAGACAATTCCAGGGTTGGGCCCCCAGGGGGCGGGGTGTCAGGAGACAGTTCCAGGGTTGGGCCCCCAGGGGGCGGGGTGTCAGGAGAGAGTTCCAGGATTGGGCCCCCCGGGGGCGTCAGGAGAGAGTTCCAGGGTTGGGCCCCCAGGGGGCGGGGTGTCAGGCTACATAACGTACCTTAGGAACATGTATGATGGGGGATTTCTTCAACATTTCCTCCATCTGGGCCCCGCTGGGGAGGGTCTGATAGGAGTACGGAAAGCCGGATTCCACATGACACCTATAGAGCCCGAGACCAACATGGAGGACATTAGAGTGTAAGCTCCTCTGTACAGAGACTGATGTGACTGGGGGGGACATTAGAGTGTAAGCTCCTCTGTACAGAGACTGATGTGACTGTGGGGGGAGGGGACATTAGAGTGTAAGCTCCTCTGTACAGAGACTGATGTGACTG